TGGGGTAGCCTAGTGGTTAAAGCGTTCTCTTGTCACGCCGAAGACCCGGGTTCGATTCCCCTGAGAGGCACAATGTTTGAAGCCCATTTCTGGTGTTCCCCGCCGTGATATTGCTGGAATATTGCTAAAGGCGGCGTAAAACTAAACTCACTCACTTGAACACAGGCATGTTACTGACAAACCTTAACCACAAAGAGAGCGTATCTGGTATTTGAACCTCTATCATAGGTTCCATCGTAGGGTCATAGCTTAATCGTGGCGCCCCAGTCGACGGCAACTCGTGCCCCTCCTGAAAGAGAAACTCCCTCGGGGAGATATTGGGAGGTTCGTGTGTTCCCACAATAAGTCATATACAGAAGTTAAAATGTAAAAATGCGTACATGGAGATATGGGTGTCGTCAGGAAGTGAGCAATTGTTGTCACGGATGCGGTCAAACGTTTAACATTTGTAGTCACGGATGTGCTCATCATGTCATTTAGCCGGCACGCTATGGGCGGTGTGAACAGCTCTGGCAGAGGTAGTGTGGAACCAGAATGTGGCGGTAAGCGATCATGGTGACATGGTATCATGACGGCAACATTGACAAAGGTCAGACTGTCAAACAAACGTAGGCGAGGCTGGTGAAACAACATGGGCTGAACTCGGACATTTAGGCAGCCACCGGAAGATCATTTATGAAAATAAAATACAGCCTAATTTGGCGAAAGCAGTCATATTCAAGGTTTACTTACCCCCATTGTCTAAGTACTAGCAGGCTTCATTGCTTTGCCTACCTTAGACAAAACCTGCCGGCATTCAGGGACGTACCCATATTCAACCGGCTATGATCCACCAATGAGCATTTGAAAAAAAGATTATTTATCTAAGAGAAAACAAATCAATATTTAAGGATTCCACAGTAGCCTACTATTAGGCTAAAGATCCACCAAATCTGTGAAAGATGAAGAGTGAGTGAGACTTGATTTTATGCCGCCTTAGTAGTATGTACTTTATCTCTTACCCGTGAAGATCCGGGTTAGAATTGGTCTTCATAAACCCTGGGGACGGTGGGGTAGCTCAGTGGTCAAAGCATTCGCTCGTCACGCCGAAGGCCCGGGTTCTATTCCTCACATGGGTACAATGTGTGCAGCCCATTTCTGGTGTCCCCCGCCGTGATATTGCTGGAATATTGCTAAAAGCAGGGTAAAATTCAAGTCAATCAATCTTCAGTAACCCATGCTTGTGTAGATCGGGTGGTCAGGTTCGCTGACTTGGCTTAGTGTCATCGTATCCCGATTCATGCTGTTGATCACTGGATTGTTTGGTCCAGACTCGATTATATACAGACTTACATACAGACTGCCGCCATATAGCTGGAATATTGCTGAGTGCGGCGTTAAACAACAAACCAAACCGAACCAAACTTTATCACAGCGTGGACTTTTGTTGGAGGGAGCGAGAGGAGAGCAAGGAAACATCATGGTCGGAGTAGTACAATGGACTTTTGGTAGAGATTTCCTATCCTTTTTCGCCTCTATATTGATCAGCATTAACGATGTTTGTGAAGCCCCCTTGAGTTTGGTGCTGACAAACCATGAATCATACTCAGAAACTTGGATTCGAACCCACGATTACAGGATGCTGCCATGCCTAAGCGATACAACACTGGAACATATAGGGTATATTTAACTAGAATAGGATGTAAAGAAATAGAGTATACGTGAATACCCTAAATTACTAAAATATTTCATAAGATTTCTGTATACGAAAGCTTAAATACCGTTAGGCTTACCTTCATATTTAAGTTACGTCATGGTATGTCAGCTTTGTCTCTGGAAGTCCGAGGTGATGCAAAACGTCTATCACTCATGATCGAGTGCAACAGTACTCTGACGTCTTTGTTTGTTACCCATGCTATCAACCACTTATTTGCCTCGTCCAGACTCGACCATTTACAGACCGCACTAATAGGCATTATAAAACAAACAAATAAGCTATATTTTCAAGAACCTAGACACGACTCTGATTTAGCTGGAATGTTGCTTGCGGTTGTGTAAAATAATATTCATTCAGAAAAGAAAGGTAAAATACTTAATGGACGACAACTTCTTCTATTATATTATGATGAGGCGCTGTAGGGTAGGTTCTTATACCGTTGTCAAGCAAGGCAACCGAAACGTTGCATCATAAAATATTAAAGAAGTATCATCCATACAGTATAAACTTTCTTATTATTAAGACCTGTGAAGATTCGGGGTAGAATAGGTCTTCAGCAACCCATGCTTGCCACAAAAGGCGACTATGCTTGTCGTTAGAGGCGACTAACGAGATCGGGTGGTCAGGCTCGCTGACCGATGCTCATGCTGTTGATCACTGGATTGTCTGGTCCAGACTCGATTATTTACAGACCGACGCCATATAGCTGGAATATTGCTGAGTGCGGCGTAAAACTAAACTCACTCACTAACTCTTATTATTAATCAACATCTAAAAGTGCCAATCAGACAAACATTCACTCAGACTCTCAGTGTATAGAAATGTGCGTTACACTTTCACAACAATGGAATCCCGTTGTAGTAATGCGTGTCAGCGCCTATTGTTTAGGCTAATGTCACATATACACGAACAACAACCTATAGATAGTTTCCAAACACATTCACAACGTCGCGTCAACATTTGAAAACCTCATTGATTAAGAAGTCGTTCCGTTCCTTCTATTGTCCACAATAGAATACGCAGTGCAGGTAACATACGGCTGATATCGATTCTCGGAATGTTGGTCTTGGTCTCTCCGACATAGAGATTAATATCTTTTACTTGAATATAGATCAGTCACGGCAAGTCGCCCTGTTTGGGATGTTAATGGCAATAACAACAATAATGCTAACAATCTTGGCAGGTTTATCAACACAGTGTAGAGATTTGTGTCGCCCCTTTGTGAATCAAATCTTTATTTCTTCCTTCCCAAGTAGGTCATTCTGCTCCATTGCCTCTACCCGACTGACTGAGTTTGGTTTTACGCCGCTTTTAGCAATATTCCAGCAACATCACGGCGGGGGACACCAGAAATGGGCTTCACACATTGTACCCATGTGGGGATTCGAACCCGGGTCTTCGGCGTGACGAGCCAACGCTTTAACCACTAGGATACCCCACCGCCACGCCTCTACCCGACGTTGTAATATGGGACGTTGTAGTAAGTCATCCGTGGTGGCCAGTAAATGTACAGCTTGGTCTAATTGAGACATTTCCACATCGCTGACTGGTGATTTTCATTCCTTACCAGTCTCGGTCCTTGAGCATGTAGAACGTGTATGTAGTTTGTCCTACACAAACATCACCGTCAACACGGATCGACGTTCGCAGTGTTCGTGGACGCTATCGCTTAGTCTCAGATAATGTATAGTATGAGAATGTGAGATTTGAACCTAAGAACATCTGGATTTGCTTCATTTAGAGCTTTTGCATTGCAGAAAGGGTTTGGGCGGAATGTAACATAGTGTGGTTCAGGGACTGTGAGTCTAAACAGTTCGTGTTGAAAATAACCGCGGATATTAGATATATCATTATTATACATTGTCCATGTTAGACTGTTGAACAAATAGAGACTCGATATAATTCATAACAGCATTAGTGATAGTCTCTGTCGCAGATCCCAGAACATTTTGAATAAAACTATTACTGACCCCACTACGGGATCCAGTCAAATGGTTTAATATGGAATACTGTAATTAAGGGACATTCTCGCGAGAATACGAGAACGCGAGAAAATGAAATGTCGCATTCTCTCCTTCACGCGATTTCGTGTTTTTGTGGCCTTATTTGACAAGTCGAGATTGCGAGATTTGACAGCATGTACAAATGTCGCATTCTCGCGTTGTCGACTTTTGACAAAAGGTGCTATGTACCAAAAACATGAGAATGCGAAATCGCGAGAACGCGAGATTTTGGCCAAATTTCACGTTCTTGCACTCTCGCACTTTTGGCATTCTTAGCTTGTTTCTAAAGGTCGAGATCGCGAAAATGCGAGATCGCGAGAATGTCCCTTACAGTATTCCCACCCGGTATACTGTAAAGTACATGCTCGGGGTAGTAAGGAATGAGAAAAGAAACGTAAAATTGGGTGTTTGAGAAAACTGTCCAGCATAGCGACTGGTACTTTTCTGGTTTCTAATTACATGTATACGGATGCGGTAGGTTAAACAGAATATTAGAGAAAGTGATACTATTTCACTTTGTCAGCTGTATCAGAAGTCTCATCCTCAACTGTGGATGTAAGTTGTCACGTTGATAAAAGATCAGTGTTTTGTTAAGACTTTTTAGGAGGAAGTTTGGTTTACTAACTCACAGTTATATTCTTTGTAAACAAGTTAATACTTCAGGAAAGTGAAAAGCGGAATTAAACCGTGCTAACTCCTTAAGACTTTTTCGTAATAAATATCTGTTATATAGATAGTGTAAGGATTATATTGCCACTCCCTATTTTCTTCTTTCTTTCTTTGATGCTTTGTTATCCCACCTTTGTTATTGCTATCTCATTATCATATGTACATGTATCTTGTATATAAACTGCTGTACCCCATTATTACCCCATATGCTTGAAAACGGTATAAGAATCTATACCGAAACGTCGCCATTGTGAAAATAAAGAAGCTGATCATCCATAAAGCTTTGTCATCTCTATACCACCAGCTTCTAGAATGCCACTCAAACAAAACATTTTCTTCTCCCGGCGACATATTTTCCCGTCTCTCACTCACTTATTGTAATAGATGTTTAGATAGAAATGTCATTTATCAGGTTTCTATCAGTATAAATAAGGGTGTTAGAAACACACGCGCTAAGTAGAGAAAAATAGTCATGTTAATTGTTTCCTCAATTCTAAGATCAATGCAGCCCCTGTTTAGCTGTATGCCATCCGGGGTGAGGAATACACGCAAAACATACTTTGACAGGCGAACGCTTTAACCACTAGGCCACCCCACTAACCCACTTGGGGAACAAATCAATATCAAAGCTATTTTTCTTAAAAAGTAACATTTATTACCTATATACAAATCTGTTTTAATACTGAATACAGTCTGCTTTGGTGAACAAAGTCAGTCTTTGCATTTGAGCAGCTTCCGTAGCACCTTCCGGCTGTCCTTTCTAAATAGTGGGTTTACTGCACTGTATATCAACGGATTCGCAATGTTGTTTAGAAAATAGGACTTTGATAAAAACTCGTACGCTAAGTCTTCCGCATCTGTCATACCTGGTTGAAATGCGAGTCCAGCCTGTCTGAGAACCTCCACTATCAAATATGGTAGAAATCCAAAAACTCCGGCCAACGTAACCAGGCCAAACATGATGGTTGTACGAGAGGTCCGTATTTTAATCCGACTCGAGAATTTCAAACGGTGTGATTGAGCACTTAGTGGTGTAGACGGGGTCCTTTGAAATGACATTGAAAGGGACCACACGGACGAATGTCTAGTTTCAGTGTGTATTTCATTCAGATTGCTTGCAAACGACTCCGTCAGGTTCGCCATGTTGGAGTCCAGCGTTGAGCGTCTCCGACCTTCACCTATGTATTTTGTGTCTCCGGTATTTTCATTAGAATTTTTATCAATATTGTCAAAGGGGAAGGCACTGTTACTTTGGGCGGTAAAACAGGTATCCTCTGTCCCAGTTAAAGATGGTTTGTTTTTATTGTCTGCTACTTTGATCTTTTCACTGCCATACGACGCAGTAAAAGAATAACTTTCCCCAATTCGCTGACGCTTCCTTTTCCAAATCACGTGAAACATTCTCCCATAGAATAATAAGAATATCACAAGGCACACACTGAACAGGAAACTAATAGAACCCTGAAACAACAGGGAATATATAGAACCGAACAACCCATCCTGGGTGGAACAATCTTCACCAAACACGCCCTTGACTGGCGTTGTGACAGTCCTTTTACCCACCAGAAACAGCTGTGGCCATGATACGGAAATTGTGATAGCGAACATAACGATGGTAAGAGATTTGGCCTTGCCCATTGTATATGTCTGAAGAGGGTGGCATATCTTAAAATATCTGTCAAAAGCAATGCACATGAGGATGAGGCCGCACCAGGTGTTGACGACAGTTTCCAGAAATCTGAAGATCTTGCATGCCACAGGGACTGGGTACTTGTACGGGTTGCTGAGGTCGAACATCTGGAACGGGATGCAGAGAGAACTACTGATAAGATCTCCCAAGGCAAGCAGCAGTATGAAAAAGTAGGAGGGAGTCATCTTCTTGCTCCGGTATACATAGATGACGAGGACGTTGCCAAAGATGGCGGCCACCATGATGACGCCCAGGGTCACGACAACCGGCTGCTGGAATAGGCGTCTTTCATAGTTGAGATGGTCAATCGTTTGGGTGACGTTGAGGACTTGGTGACCAGTTGTGGTCATTTCAGGATGGATAGGACTCTGTAGTGATGTGAACATATTCAAATGCTCTTACTGTGTATAACGTCCCATCAACCACACGATTGTGTTGTCAACTGTCTTTATGTGACCATTATGCGTGACATTATTTGACATAACGCCTTCAGTAGGGAACGTACACTGTGTATTCAACGCGCAGTGTGTGTATAGAGTTGTATGAGTAAAGCTCCCCACAGCTATGAACCAACTCGCTGTAGTAGCTGACACCACAGCCGTATCCGGGTCCCGATGACTTGACTCTCCACAACACTATAATCCGTAATTACACAGTGTGTTATTTCCAGAGATAGCTGACTCAAAAGGTGGATTATGTGATATAATCTGTCAGACCATCATCTTCAGGTTTTCCAAGTCACGAGTTACCAAATTATTTGTAACCTTCTATACATCTTCGCCGCCCTCTCTGTGGGTTTTCCTGAAAGAACAATAGAATTTCGTCACTGACGGGGGCGGCTGGTATGAGAAAGGCCTGTAATAACACCCCCGATCTACAAGGCTGTTTTGATTAACGTGCTAGAGTTGTGTGGGGTCACTCAGCCGGATATTACCATAATGTAAACGATGTGGAATGAATGCTCAGGAAAGATGTCACAAACATATTCTTTCAGCGATATTTAATCTGCATACCGAATTAAAATTATTCATAGGATATAACAAAACATGACAAGACATTTCCTTCGGTCGCATGTTTACGGAAATGTTTTAAATTCTTAAGCTTCGTGTCCTGGTAATTGTTAATAGATTTCACAACGCTCTTTGTATCAGGCACGAATCTATGTATCGGATCTTCCATCGTCACAAGACTGGGGACCTATCAAAGGAAGAACGTGATTCTCCGAATGTAACCTCATATGGCGGGTCATGTCTGTCTTCTTAAAAATGAAGTCGCACGTAATGTTACCGCGAGCCCAGCTTCCCTGTAGTCAACGCCTAGCGGAACGAAACACTAGCCCATATTTTCGTTACAGACACTGCAGGTATTAATATCAAAACTGGTTTCACTTTATATATAAATGTTTGCGAATGAAGTTTTTGCTTTTGAAGAGATATGTCAGGTCTGTATGTTTAGAGAGAACTGAGATAATATTATCGGCAGGGAGCACGAAGCAACGCGAGTATGTGAATTGTGTTTGACGCCGCTTTCAGCATTACTTCGGTTATATACTATTCACACTTTGCTAAGGATCAAATCATGGACTCAACAGAAAACTATGATGTGGGGGTCAAATTTGGTTTAAATATTTAAGCTTATTGTAAGTATGGATCCTAGGTTTCAGTATGTCATTATATCTTGTGGATCCCATACCTTCTATTGACAGGTGTTGTGTACTTGTCAATGACTCGTTCCATGATTTGCAAAATGGTTGATTGGTGCCATGAAAACCATTTTTATAGTTACTCATGTATCAAGTGCATAAGGTTAGATAAAAGTGACTGTTTGCCTAAAAAGGGGTTACAATATTATTATTTTATCCAGTTTTAAATGGATACAATTTAAATTATGAATCTACGTTTAAGTAAAGTTTTGAATTTTAGTGATCCTTATCAGTGTGTGAGTAGAATACTATGGTATTGCTGGGGAAATTCCAAAGTGTTGAAGGTCACGGGCGTTTACTACATGAGCACGAGTATGGCGCTGACAAACCTAAGAATGTAATCATTTGTGAATCGAACCCACATTCTCAGGTTTCTAGGTTTCCGGCACGACAAAGGGACGCAACTCTTGACAGCGTAATGGCCACACGTTATCCTGTGAACAATATTTTCAGTCCACCCCGAAAGGAGCGATGATAGTAATTGTAATAACGAAATATACGTAAGTGAGTTTAGTTTTACGCCGCTTTTACCAATATTACAGCAATATCAATTGGGGGACACCAGAAATGGGATTCATGCATTGTACCCATGTGGGAAATTGAACCCGGGCCTTCGGCGTGACGAGCGAACGTTTTAAATAACCACTAGGCTACCCCACCGCCCCACGAAATATATAAGTTAATCGATTACAATTTCTTACACGAATAAGGGTGTAGGAAGTTAGACCGACACATCGCTCTACACAATAAACATGAAACTGTTATCCATACAGTCATATGCATCGTTATTTATGCCGATCAAACAATTGCCACAACTGTAAGAATAATAACCAAATAAATTAACACCAAATGAAAGAACAAAAATGATAATCATAAAATCATGAAATCAGCAATATGAATATTAATTAAATATGATAAGAAGTGATAATGAAAACGATATAAGTCACCTACATGCTTGTTTGTGCTGATAGCAATGAAGGGAATCTAACAGTAATTAGCAACTTGCTTTCTTCACGTGCAGCTACATCCGGGGTTCACCAAGTCCGAGCACACTGAAGGTTTGTTAAATCTGTAAATTGCTTCTCTCCTCGACGAAACCTGGCATCGTTTTATGCGAGTATTCGTCATACCCGGAACAAGTATGGATTGTTAAGGTAATGAGATCTGAAGTATCGCCCAAGTGCCCACGCTAGCTTTAATAGGACTTTGTTTGACGAAAACGAAAGCAAACTGGCGCATAAAAGCGAAGTTCGCATTGGTGCGAATAACACAGCAACCTGTAAGACCAGCACTGTACAAATCATGAAAAGGTTTTTAAACTGCACACTTGGGAGCTTATTTCGCAATATATTTTTCTTAAAGTGTAATCTAATTTGTTTCGGGTAGGAGTTATCCTGAATGAATACAGCCAGGCTTAATACTGCCATCATCATCATCATCATCATCATCATCGTCATCATCATCCATCTTATTAATACTACGCATTATCGTTACATAAAGACACTGTTGACAACATATCCCTTGAATAATTTTCAAAAAGATCAGTATTACCTTTTTAAGAAAACCTGTTTCTATTAACATCATCATCCATTTTATTACTACTATTGCAAGGTGACTTCTTCGTCAATTTGAATGTTTCTAGACTATTCAATTATATCCCATGTCCCTGAAACCACATAAAGACAAAATTATTTGTAATTATTACTAATTATTTCAGCAACTGATTACTTACCCTACAAAGTGGACTCCTATGACACAGACAACACTCTCCTAATTCCCATACCCGCGCTGTCTGAAACATTGTAAAAGATCGTACAGAGGTAATACAGAATCGTACCTAATGCCAGCCAGTTATGTTGACAACCTGCGAGAAAATATATATAGAAATGCCAAACAACCAACTCACCTTCAGAGTGTATTTCTCACATGTGTCTTTCACGCAAGCAGGAAACTATATGAGTAAGAAAGTGCGCGCGACTGTTTTCGTCAGTAAATAGGTCAGACGAAACCAACAAGCGTATCGAGACGGCCTTCCTAACCAATGAGCTCAATGGTTTTTGATAGGTTTTCTTGCGCACTAAGTCTAATTAACAACCCCACGGTGTGGTACATTTGTATGTGAAGTAAAAGAGTTGAACGTTTAGGGAGATAGTATTTTATTGCTGTTATTATTTATTCAAGATGTTATTTGTGTTCACTTGAGTGTTGAGCAAGCCTGTGTAGCGGTGTGTTTGGCAACGGTGTGTGTAGTCGTTCTCTCGGTCCCATTCATCTGGGATGTTGAAACAGACCCTGTCGTAAGTAGTAAGTAGTTTAAAATGATCGCATTTAGTAAAAGGAAGGGTCTCACTCACTTCCTTGTGTGATACATACTTTTGTTTGTTATTTAATGAACCACTCAGCAATGATTCAGGCACATGGGGCGGTCTGTATATAATCGAGTCTGGACCAGACAATCCAGTGATCAACAGCATGAGCATCGATCTACACAATTAGGTTATGATGACACCTGTCAGCGAGCCTGACCGCCCGATCTCGTTAGTCGCCTCTTACGACAAGCACAGGTTGCTCAATACCAATTCTAACCCGGATATTCACTGGTCGACACATGTTCTTGTCATGTTTCCAACACACGTGAACGATTTCTGAAAGCGATGTAACAAATAACATCCTATTCCATAAGCTGACTTTTGTCATCTATTGATGTTGTCTGCACCCGAGAGAATAAATATATTATGATTATAATTTAAGAAAGTATTTCTGTAAAATATGCCCATTTCAGAGACATTATGTTAGTCTATAAGAAGTCTGCCATACAGACTCTGAAACAAACATATCCAAGAAAGCCCATGTAAGTCTAGAATATGTGGCTGCTTGTACTAGCCCAGACTGAAGCTGGTTTTATAGTGCAAGCCCACTGAGATACCATGCCTCAGTGAAGCATGAATACCCCACTCAGACACATTATACTGACTCCGAGCCGACCAGTCCTTGATGTACCCATTAATGCCGAGCGCCAGGCAGGGACCAACAAGTACCATATTTTAACGTCTTTTGGTATGACGCGGCCGGGGATCGAACCCGCGACCTTTCGCTCTCTGGGCGGACGCTCTAACCACTACTACACGGAGGCGGTCATTAGTCTATAAGAAGTCTGCCCTGAAACAAACATATCCCAGAAAGCCCATGTAAGTCTAGAATATGTGGCCAGTCTAGATTACCACAGTGGGCTCCTATTTCATATTTTATGATAATAATTCAAGAAAGTCTTTTTCTGTAAAATATTCTCATTTCAGTGACTATATAACAGTCTATAATGAGTTCAGTACCGTGTTAAAATAGATATGTAAAAATTACCAGAGAACAACTAAACAAAATCGTCGGCGTCATATTGAACCGGGAATATGAGAAGAATAAACCTTTTGTCCTCAGACCCGTGAAGATCCGGGTCAGAATTGGTCTCTAGGAACTCGTGTCGCAATAGTTGACTAACGGGATCAATCCCGGGATCAAATGTCAAACATTTAATTGTCTGGTCCAGGGCCCCGTTTCACAAAGCTCTCGTAGGCCCAAGATCTCGTAACTTTTCTCGTAGCATTGGTACCTGCTATACTGTAACATTGGAGGTACGAATGCTACGAGAAAAGATACGAGATCTTAGGCCTACGAGAGCTTTGTGAAACGGGGCCCTGGCTCGATCATTTACAGACCACCGTCAACTCGCTTAATAAATGCTGATTGCTGTTTAAACAAACAAACAGCTTTTTCCTCATAGTTATTTGTGTAAATAATAGTAATAATAACAATAACAATGGCCATTTATAAAGCGCGTTTCCACGCACTTGTTATCCCGGATAACCCAAGCTGGAGCTAGAAGGTTAACAGTCATATGACTTATCCCACCGGGTACCCATTCACTACTACAGGAACAGGAGCAATTTCCTAAAAACAATTGTTGTCAACACTGTCACCCAACCAAGGACTGTCCGCGACCAACGTTGCTTAACTTAGTTTGTGACCTGGGCTCTATGCTCAGGACCACACACTACATGTGTAACACTAGTAATGGCAATGAAATGGTAGGGATGATGCGGACCTTTAATGAGTGAGTGAGTTTAGTTTTACGCCGCTTTTAGCAATATTCCAGCAATATCACGGCGGGGGCACAAGAAATAGGCTTCACGCATTGTACCCATGTGGGGAATCGAACCCAGGTCTTCGGCGTGACGAGTGAAGGCTTTCACCATTAGGCTACCCCACCACAGCCGGACCTTTAATGAGATAGGTTTGGGTCCCCTTTCACAAGGCTATCGAAGGGGGTAATCACGTTGCAACAGAATAGTGAACTTGCCTAGTCATCACTGTATCTGATGTTCCGTGATCATACCTATCTGACATCTTTTCTATTCCCCAAATCCGGCTTACGTTATGTTAACCAATAGGCAATGGTTCCATTGTACTAGCACGACGGGTAGGATATATTATCAAGCCCCAAGAGAGAAAAAAATATTAAAATAGGATCCTGCTGACCCAAATATTGAAACGTATTACTTACGTCCGGTGTATCAAATTATAGGTATAGGCTCTCGGAGGAGACGATGCCGTATCTATGTACATATCTGAAATAACCTGTTGTGCAGAGAATGTCAGATGACATGGCCCAACCTGTCGCTGCATATATCAGAGTGACGCTCCTTGGGTATATAGACATACTGAAGGGGAACATGGTGAAGCATAATGGTAATTTCGTTGATGTCAAGATAACGGGCGTTTTGACGCTGAGCATATGTATTCATCGGTACCTTTCATAACACACGCATGACGTGTATAAGTTTAATAGATATTGTCTAAACTACATCTTGACTATGTGGAGTTCGAGGTAAAATATATATATATCGACTTAATGGAGTTAGTGTTCATGATGTCAGTCACTGGTCTGTGTGGTCCAGACTCGAGTATTTGCAAACAACAGTCATGCTTATGATATATTGGCCAAACTTGCATATTTACAAGAACAACAACAAGTTGCTCATTTATACCTACAACAGCAGCAGCAACAACAAGTTGCTCATTTACACCTACAACAGCAGCAGCAACAACAACAACGAAACATTACAAACCAGACTGCCCTTAGTTATACCAATGGTAGCCTTGCAGAAGTCTCTTAGGTGATATTGAATAGTTTAAATGATGATTTCTAAGCAATATCAATCAGATTAACGCATTGTCCCTCTAACAGACTGGCGTAATTAGACTTTCCACTTATCAAGAGTGCCACTTTAAGGATAGAATTACTATACATTCATGGCTTAGCATTCAGTACAGCCTTGGAGCAAGGCTATACCAATGGGTGAGTGAGAGGGTACGAAGGTGTGAGTAAGCTGGGTTTCATGTCGCTTTCAGCAATATTCCAGCAATATAACGATGGGGTACACCATACAGTATACCTCACCCTGACCTCTAGATGGACATAGCCTGGTTTGAGCTAAGCAAAGCTGTTTTTTGAATGACCCATTAAGTCAAAGGTCATGTGCTCGCGCTATTCTGAATTAGACTTGTGATATTTATTGTGAAGGAAAGACGACCTTCGTTCACAGTCATTGTATTCCGGCCGCCATGCCCAGTCAGGTCCACCAGACACACTATCACCAACGCCAAACCAGAAATACCACCATCTGGGTATCATAACGGTCTGGGAATGTGTTTATATATAGGAACGTTTAAGTCTGTCTCACAATCCCTGGACAATATTATATTTCCTTCCGTCAGAAACGAAGGAAGTCTACATTTACCTTACTCCCACCACATTGGGACTATTTATAAAATTAAATGGGACTATTCGTTCATTAGAGAAACTGGTAGGTAACGGACAAACCTTTTTAGACGGCAACAAGGCCCATGGTTTGTTTATCATCAACGCATCAAGTCATCAAGTATATCCAAGAACGCCCATGCAAGTCTACAATATGGGACAAGTCTAGATTACCACTGTTTCTAAAAACGAAAAGGTCTCTGGGCTCCTTTTCATTATACATGTATTTTATTATTATAATTACCCGTGAAGATCCGGGTTAGAATTGATCTTCAGTAACCCATGCTTGTCGTATGAGGCGACTAACGGGATCGGGTGGTCAGGTTCGCTGACTTGGTTGACACATGTCATCGGTTCCCAAATGGGTAGATCGATGCTCATGCTGTTGATAACTAGATTGTCTGGTCCAGACTCGATTATATACAGACCGCCGCCATGTAGCTGTAATATTGATGAGTGCGGCGTAAAACTAACCTCACTCACTCACTATTATTATAATTTAGGAAATGTTCTTTCTGAAAAGGGCCGGTGGGGTAGCCTTGTGGTTAAAG